TCCTAGCCATGTCCCCTGCTCCTCTATAGCACTTATTTATAACAGCTGACATACTATATATTACATATGTTTTTGGCTTGTGTATGTCTTCCTGCACTAAAATGTAAGCTTTATGTAGAAAAGATCATAGATTTTATTGCTGAATCCTAGTCCCTAGAATAGTGCTTGCCACATAGTGGGCCCTCAGTAAATATTTGTTGAATGAATGAATCATGAGTTGATAGGCCCACTGGGGTAGGCAGATAATGTCCCTCTAAAGCTGTCTATATCCTAATCCCTAGAGCCTGTAGAGATTATCTTGCAGGGCAAGAGGGACTTCGCATATATGATTAAGTTAAGAATTCTGAGAGAGGGAGATTATCCTGGGTTATTCAAGTGGGCCCAATGTAATCACAAAGGTCCTTATAATTAAAAAAAGGAGGTGGGAAAACCAACATTGGAGAGAGATTTGAAGGTGCTCTGCCGCTGGCTTTGACGATGGAGTAAGAGACCATAAGCCAAGGAACTCAGGCATACTCTAGAACGTGGAAAAGGCAAGGAAACAGGCTGTCTCTTATCGCCTCCAGAAAGAACATAGCTCTTGTGACACCTAGATTTTAGCCTAGTGAGATCTGTAAGATAATACATTTATATTGTTTTGAGCCACTAGCTTGTGATGATTTATTCCTGTAGCATAAGAGAATGATACACCCACCTTCCCATCTTAGACTATAACCTCCTCTAGAACAGGAACCTGGTCTTCCTTGACCTTGCATGTCACAGGTGCTCATAGTTCTGGAGCACAGGTACTTTGGCTTTTTGGACAGAGTATCTGACAGAGCATGATACCTCTTTCTGCTTACCACAAAGCCTGATGTATGATGTTATCACAAGATGCAGGTCAGTTTTCCCGGAATATCCCAGAATGTAAGAGCCAAAAGCTGGAATACTGCTGAGAAATAATTCACCTGTCCTTAAGCAGTGAAGTCCTCATCCATCATTGGGAGGGATGATGACTTACTCCCACCCACTCCAACATGATGCAGAATTTTGGATGCAGGTCTCTGGGCTCAGGGGCTAAGATGGGATGTTCTCATAAGATACCTCAGTGATTCCAGAACTGAGGGTATGAACAAAGTCAGAACCCAAGAAGCTGGGAGAGCAGTCCAGAAGATCGCCAGCGCTGAAGGAGATGAGAGTGGGTGTTACTAAACCAGAAATCTGGGGACCGGGGAAATGATAGTAAACAAACCAGAAACAAAGGAAAAGAGATTATAGAATCTGGAACAGTCTAGTGTTTTTAAGACCAATTAAGGCCTGGTGTATATGTGGCTTATAATACCAAAGATGGAGTGGATGGCACTTGATTCATGCCCACACACGCCACTGCTGTCTTTGCCTAGCTATACTCTCCTTTAAGGCAAAGTAGGGTTTTCAGGCATTATGCAAGAACATTTATGAAAAACCAGTTTTCGTTTTTCTATTGAATCTAGCCTTTAATGAATAGAAACGAAATCCCACTAAAATCTCTAGTCCTGGAGACCAATTAAAAACACCTTAAGCCGGGCTCCGGTGGCTCAGCCTGTAATCCCGCGCCTTTGGGAGGCTGAGGTGAGTGGATTGCCTGAGCCTGCGGGTTCGAGACCCGCCTGGGCAGCGAGACCTCATCTCTACAATAAATCAAAAAATCAGCCGGGTGTGGTAGCGCATGCCTGTAATTCCGGCTACTTGGAAGGCTGAGGCGGAAGGATCACCGGAGCCCAGCAGGTCGAGGCTGCGGTGGCCGGGAGCGGCCACTGCACTCCAGTCTGGGCGACAGAGTGAGACTCCAACTCACAAAAAAAAAAAACAAAAAAAAAAACACCTTAAAACCTAGTAAAATTAAGAAGGTCTTAGAGTGTAGTATATAAAATTTCAGATCTGAGTTTTCACGTCTTCTATGTATTTTTTAAAGAAAACTTTATAACCCATGTCTGATATGAATAAGGCCCTCTAATTTTTACTATAAACATTTAGGCTTAAAGCGATCATAACTGACAATTAAGACCAACAGGAGCCAATGGCCTGTTCATGGACAGATTATCTGTATTTCAGACTAAACCAAAAGTAAACATTCTCTATAGTCCCTTCAGGTCTACATTAGTCCTGTGGAAGGCACATGTGGCAGACCAGCCCTCCCCTCCCACTTATTCTGTAGGCTCACTTTAAAGTGAATAGTCTTTTCCATGCAGCAATATTATATGCATTTGGAGTCATTTCCACATCTGAGTTATTGATTTCAGTTGATTTTCCTCAATCAGCGTTTTTATTTCATTACAAATATATTTGCAAAAGGCTGGGCTGTGATGTTTTACCATTTGTTTTACCAGATTTGTGTTTTCCTAAATAATGGTGCAAGGGAGGAGCTGTTCTGATGACCCTCACTTATTTTTTTTTAATTTTGTGTTTATTCTTTGGAAGAGGAAATAGCAGTGAGTTCGTTTCATTTAATAAATGCTCAGAAAGACTAAGTATTACAAAGTATTTTAAATTGACAAAGCTTTATTCCTGAATATCTCCATTAGAATATGCTGATGATCAGTTTAAAAGCAACACAGGCAGTGAGGAGGAAGTCAGTGTTCTGAATCACAGAGCAGTAAAGCTGTTGTTACCAGCGATGATGTCACTAACCCCCAAGGTTCTGAAAGTCTATTAGAAATTAGCTTTAGGGAGAAACGTCTTCTGACTTGTCACTGGTTCTAAAAGGCAATCAGTGTTAAACAAACACAGGCCCCTTTTTGGAACCTGTATAATAAACTCAGACACATTAATCTCTACTCACGTCTCTCGTCAGGGTCTGACCCCTAACTCTTTCAGCTTTAATGGAAGGAAGTAAGGGCCAACTGACATTAGCTAACAGAAGTTTGTGTAAAGGTTCAGCTGTGCCTGTAAGCAAATAATTATACTTTCTTAAACTTTTGTTTTATTGAGTCCTATAAGATAAAAATGTCTCTCTACAATGGTATAAGATTGCATTACAGTCTCTATGTGTTTTAACAGTGTTCAGTTAATCACAAAATTTGATTTAAGAGATACCATGGAGAGAAAAGAAGAGGTCATCTCCTGTTTAGCCTGGATGTTTTGGTCCTTGGACAAAGCACTGATCTTAAAGAGTCAAGCGCCCTGGGTGGTACCCCTGCTTTTACCACTAATAAATTTGTATGACCTAAAACATCTCACCTTATCTCTCTAGGTCTCAGATGCTTCATGTGTACAATGAGAAGAGTAATACCTTCTCTACTAACTATGAAAACCTGTAATAAGAATAAGAGAAGGTGAAAGATGTGAATGTACTTAGCAGATTCTGCCATACAAATGAGATGACAGTATTTCATAAGAGACCTGCTTTCTTGACTAGAGAGCAGGGTATATAAGGATGTCATATCACATGGCTGCATTCTTAGCAATATCAGAAATAGTGCACATTCAAGAAATAAATGTTTACCATGATTATGAATAAAACTACTTTGATGCAGCTAGCAAATTAAAATGAATACAGTGATCCCGTTGGAAAAAAATAAGTTAGGAAATGTAAAGCCTAAACAAGATACTAGAAACTTGCCAGCCATCATCTCCTAATTATTTAATCAGTGACATCTCTTGAGTGCTTCTGGGAAAAATAATGAGGCAAGCACAGATCTTCAGTGCCTCTCTCCGATCCCAGGTTCCAGCTGAAAGAAATGACAAGCAACAACAAAAATAGAAAACCTGGGTTAGTTTTAAAAACTAAGGAAGGGTATAATCCCATGCCAGAAACATAAATGCACTCCTGCTAAATATTGTGTAGATCTCACCAGATAAAAAGGAAGACATTGAGTAGAAACTTGTAGTTTCCCTTCTTGTGAAAAAACTGAGTCCCATGAAGGAAGCCCATTGCCCCACTTGGAATGGCAGTGAGAGACATAAGGGTTTTGTGCAGTGGTTGGAACAAGTGGCAATTGAATGCCAGACCTTACATCTTCTCAGGTTCAAACCCAGTGAAGGAAAAAAGTGAGGATCTCAGCAAAAGGATCTCCTTCCATCCATTAGCTCTGACTTGTGCCATCTCATGCTAAATAGTCAGAGAAATAAAATATGTGGCTTATCTAAGCCCTGGCCACCCTTAAGCAGGAGTAAATTGGTTGGGGGCACATGAAGCACATTGGCTATGAGTTAGAGAGAAATCTTTGTACAGTTTCTGTCTTAAAAAGATAAATGAATGCTTGCAGCCATGTTTACTATAATTGCCTGTTCTTGGTCACTAGAAGCTTCACGTATGCCCAGGTTAAAGAATGAGGTCGATTTGGCAAGCCCTCACTGTTTTACTGTTGATCTTAGGAGTTCATTTGCCACTGCCATTGTCCCTTGTTGCTCATCCATGACACTACCTGCTGCAGTTGCTGAGCTGACTTCATGATGATTTGTTTAAACCTAAACCAGCACTTGCTTGCTCTTGGGACTCTGACCCCACAACCTGTCCCACCTCTATGCCTTGATGTTGGAACAGTGCCTTCATAAGCAGTCGCAGGCCCTCCCTACCCCAGTGCACCAACATGTGCCTGGATTTGTGAAACCTCATGCTGTCCTGGTAGCTGCCTCCTCTAAGAGTCCCGCTGTGTATCCCGAAAGGAATCTGCAGTGCTTTTGGTCTCTGAGTCCCAGGAGCTCATAGAATTTGCCCAGTTTGCCCACACCCAGGCACTAAGCAGAGTGGGGTCATTGAGGCTGCAGAGTGTGGGGACGGTGGGTGGCAGCCCCAGCACTGGTTGCAGAGTGCTCAGCTGACACTGCTGCAGCAGCATGGTCTCCCAGGGGAAGTAAAGGGAAGCCACAGTGTACTTGGTGGGAAGGGCTGCACGTACTTCTTGAGGTTTCTTGTTACCGTATTACACAACTCAGGTGGTTTGTTTTTAATGGTCTGCTTGTCTGGTTCCTTTGACCTATAAAAATGCTAACATCCTTTTAGTACAATTCTTTCAAAGAATCGAATGTTTCTTTATCAGGTCATACAGCATATTTGACAATAACCGCCAGGATCCCACAGGGCTGACAGCTGCTCTTCAGGCCACAGACCTGGCTGGAGTTCTGCACATGCTCTACTGTATCCTCTTCCATGGTACCATCTCGGATCCCAGCACTGCCAGTCCCAAGGAGAGTTACACCCAAAACACCGTCCAAGTGGCCATCCAGAGTTTACGTTTCTTCAACAGCTTTGCAGCTCTTGATCTGCCTGCTTTTCAGGTGCCAAGCCTTGGTTTGTATTGGTATTAACCAACTAAGAGTTAATATTTTAGTGAGGCTCTTCTCCTGGATTGGGGCATAAGGAATAAACTACAATAAATGGAATTATTATATATATAATTGATTAAGCTACTATCTTCTCAGAACTGTATTAGATGTTCTACATTGCTTTCTTATTTGTTCTTATAGCTGCCTGCAAAATATTTTTATACTCATTTTACAGACGGAGAAACTAGCAGTTAAGTGATTTGCCCAAAGTTGCACATTGCTGAGCTAGGACTAGTACCCATGACTCTCTGACCTATGCTCATCCTTTGTCATATTGCTACTTATAAATCTTTTGTCTTAAATTCTTTAGATTAAGATACTATCATCTCATCAACTTTTAAATATTAAGGAAAGTAATAGTTTCTTATATCACAGAACCAAAATTAGATAAATTTTCTTGATTGATATGACTTTCTATGGATGATTTAACTGATTTGTGTCCAGTGTAAAGCATATGTATAGTTAAATGTGCAAACCCCTATAAATTAAGTTTTTATAGCTAAAGAAAGAAAAATTGCTTTATACTGTAGCACCAGACTGTCATCTTAGAAACAGATTTTTTTTTCTTGTAGGAAATTTAATTTTTAAAAACACTGAACCTTTGGAACAGAGCAAGCCCCAAGGAGTAGACTTTCTCTTTCAGTTTATTAACTATCAAGTGATTTCATTAAAAAAGGAACAAACTTGGCAGATGATGAACCCATAATTTAGATGAATTGCTTTGCTCAGAGGGAAAAAGGTTATAGAGATACAAATGTATGAAAATAGTGGTCTTTGCCATTCTGTGATAGAAGAAACACTTCTGTTTTGTAGCTGATGACAAATGTGCAAATCTTTAATCGATGTCTTCCTGTCATTCTGTTCAAAAAAGGAAATTAGTCAGTAAGTTTTATCATTGGATCTAGTATCTTTCAAATTTATAGAGTTAGTTTATCCATCACAAGAACAGAAATCCCTTCCTTAGGATTATTGTTTTTTCTGTTTCCAAAGCAGTTAAACTAGACTTAGGTGGTAATTAACTACACAATATGGAGAGCTCTGGGAGTTTACAGCTACATCTAGAATGGGAGATAGCTGCTCCAGGGGTTGAGTTTATCATCTGAGCATATCATACAAGACCCAAGCCCATCGTATTCTGTCTGGAAACACCTTGGAAGTCTGTTCAGGATATGGAGTCCAGCAGTCTACCCATCAGCTAGGTCCAAAGGGAGTGATTTTCTTTGTTACCAAAGATTATGAAAAAGAAAATAAGCTGGGCTCGGTGGCTCAGCCTATAATCCCAGCGCTTTGGGAGGCTGAGGTGAGTGGATTGCCTGAGCCGGCGGGTTCGAGACCCGCCTGGGCAACTTGGTGAGACCTCATCTCTACAATAAATAAAAAAATCAGCCGGGCGTGGTAGCGCGTGCCTGTAGTTCCGGCTACTCGGAAGGCTGAGGCGGAAGGATCGCCGGAGCCCAGCAGATCGAGGCTGCGGTGGCCGGGAGCGGCCGCAGTACTTCAGTCTGGGCTACAGAGTGAGACTCAACTCAAAAAAAAAAAAGAAAGAAAGAAAAGAAAAAGAAAATATTAAAAATTCTCTTAGCTTCTAGCTTCATGGGTCTTCTGACCAGGATTTATACTGCTGCGGGGTACTTCACATCATAAACAAGTGTCTAGGTTAAGTCAGCCATTCCCTCAGTCACTGTGAGTATCAGGGTGCCCCTGGTCTCTGCCCCCCTCCCCTTCTATAAGCTCATGGCAGATCCTTGCCATATCTGTCTTGAAACATAGCCCCTACCTGAGCTACTTTTGCCACAAACAACAGGAGAAAAACACAAGGGTGGCTCAAAAGTGTTCAGCTGTTCTCAGAATCAAATGCCCTGCCTCCCAAGTGGAATGTCCTTTCTTGGCTGTTTCTAACAATTCTCTAATCCCTTTCCTTCTTCTTTTCTATCACTCACGTAGCTCTGTATTTCTTTCTTCTTTTTTTCCTGATTTGTTTGTTTACTCGTTTCTGTTTTTCCTCTCCTATCTTCTTTTAGTCAAGTTTGCCATCACTCTTTCTCAGTCTCTCCCCAGTCATAATTCCCAGGTACTCTTTACCCTTAACCACAGCATGAGCCAGAGACCTTCCTTTGATGTTATAGGGGCTTGGCTGCCCTTTTGGTGCCCAAGATCCAGCACGTGTTCCTCTCTGACTTTTTTTTTTTTTTTTTGAGTTGGAGTCTCACTCTGTTGCCCAGGCTAGAATGCAGTGGCATACCCATGGCCACCTCAGCGTTGACCTGCTGGGCTCTGGCGATCCTTCTGCCTCAGCCTTCCAAGTAGCCAGAATATAGGCACGTGCTACCACACCCAGCTAATTTTTGATTTATTGTAGAGACGAGGTCTTGTCAAGTTGCCCAGGTGGGTCTCAAACCCGCGAGCTCAGTCAATCCACTTGCCTTGGCCTCCCAAAGTACTGGGATTACAGGCTGAGCCACCAAGCCTGGCTTCTCTCTGACTTCTTACCATCATGTGATGGGACCCAAACCCACAGAATTTCTAGCATTAGGGCCTTCAATATATTTACCAGTGATTAACATATTGTTCCCAGTTACTTATAAGCAAAAACAAACAAATACACTTAGTGGGGTAAACAAACAACCATTTTTTTATGACCACAGATTCTAGGAGTCCAGAATTCAGAAAGGCTCATCACAGTGGAAATGGCTTGACTCCATGATGCCAGGGCTACAGCTAGGAGCTGAAGTTATCTGGAGGCTCTTCACTCTCATGACTCAAAGACAAGGTTTACCTAGGACTGTTGGCCAGAGTATCTACATAGTGCTTCTCCCTGTGACTTGGTCTTTTCAAACACTCTGCTGTCTGGGTTCTGAGTGGGAGTATCCTAAGAGGAAACTTCCAGAAAGCAGATACTGTACTTCAAGAGAACCAAACAGAAGCTGCATGGCTTTTTATGACTTAGCCTCAAAGTTACACATCAACCATACTTTATTGCTTGAATCAGTCATAAGCCTTCCAGGTTCAAGGGAAGGGAGACATAGGCCTTGCTAGCTAAAGCAACAAATTTGTCTACATAGACACCACTGATGTCATGAACTTGATCAAGTAAATCAAATACACAATATTTGCACTTCATAACAGTGATTGAGTTTGGGAGAAAAGTACTATTTTTATGGTAGTTGTGATCAGAGAAACTCATGTTCTAGTTCATCAAAACAACTTAACATGTCAAAAGTAAAATTTCAGAAACTATGTATGTAAAGGACAGAAAAAGAGATTTTAGGTGGAAAGAAGGAAGGTATACATCTCAGTATGGATCTGACCTCAGAAAAATCTGAGACAATTAATGAATTTTCTGGGAGGCTCAAAGGAACTGAAGTGAGATAAATGCCCTGACCTGCTGAGAAGTTAGACAAGAGATGTCACACATGTTGATGATTTGGGTCCAGTGCATCAGCAAAATACAGAACTGTTGTAGGGAGGCGTCCTCATCAGATCTCTGGACTTGGAGGCAGAGTGACCTGACCTCGAGCCTTCACTCTACTACCACTTCAAATGTGTGACCTCAGACAAGTCATTTGAATCCCTAAAACTCAGTTTCCTCATCTGTAAAATAGGGATTAAAAACGCCTACCTCCCAAGACTGTTTGAGTATTATATATGATTGCATAAAGGTGCTATGCTAGCTAGCACATAATAGGTACTCAGGAAATATAAACTGACTCAGTTTCTGAAAAGAAAAATTTACCCAAACTGTCTTGCAGATCTGAGTCAGAAAGTCAGAACCTGAATGCGGCATTCTCAGTGCTCTTTCACCCTTCTTCAAAGTCACAAACTTGTGTGCTTGTTTTATGTGAGAATCCATCATGTAATAGTAGGGAAGGTTATCCATTAGACTATTTTCATAGCTGATTCCATTTCATTGTATACTAATAAGACTGTCAAAATATTTTTCTCACTTCAGAAAAGTGTCTGATTTCACTCTGAATTCATATTGGCACAGGTGGCCTTGAGATCAGGGGTATTGTATATTGCATACACTCTGACAGTTTTTACAATTGAAGGTAGTCTCAAGAAACAAATCAATGTACTGACTTGGCAATTAATTCTGGCTAAAAAGGAAATATAGTTTCCTTGAAAAATTGGTTTAATTTTTATATTCAAACTTACATGCTCCTTGACCTGCTCTTATCAGTGAAGGTTAAACAGAGGGCACTGGGTCATAGCAAGCTGGACGTGACTAATTAAATAAGAGCTGAGCTGAAAAGGTGTCACTATTTGATTTAAAGGAGCAAAGCCCTCCTGAAGTCTCACTGGGGCTTGAAAAACATTTTTTTGTTTTGGGGCTATGAAGCTGAGACAAAGGCCACTCTTAAAATCAGCAGTAATTTTGTTTCAGCAATACTCACTTAAAGGGGCTTTGTTTTACCCACTGGTAAAGTGAATTCAATAAAACTTCCAAACTGCAACGTATCAAACCTCATTCAAGCCCACCAAGACCTCAAATCCAGAGATGAGTTTAAAACGTGCCTTTTCCCACAGGCCAGCAGTGGTGCTTCATTCCAGTGCGGCTTCGAGTGTATTCTGTGGGCTTCGCCTCTCCCCTTTGCCCTCCTGTCGCTCTGTCTGTTTGACATGTTTATTAAATAGAAGCTTCAGGCGGCACAGACAGACTTAGACTCTCCTCCTGAGTCACCCACCGCTGACAGCCCTTTGCCTGTCTGGAGAAAGGATCCCAGAAGCCTCTAGCTGTGAGGGGCTTCATGATTTGGTAGGGGGGTGGTTTGGTTTGGTTTTTTTGCATTCTTTTGGGAGCCTTTGGTTTGTAGAGCTGTTTATTTGAGTAATAATTGTTATTATATTTCTCTTCTGTTTTGAACATAAGTAACTAGTTAGAAATATGTTTATCTCTGTGTACGAGAAAATATTTTCTGCCTCAGAAAAAAGTATTGAAAGTTAACTAAGTGGTAGATTTACAGGTGAATTTTAGTGTGTTTATACATTTCTAAAATTTTTCTACAGTAATTATATTAGTATAATGAGAAAAATCAAGTTATTAAAAATAAATAACCGTGCTTTAGGCAGATAGTGTCTTGATACACATGACGCAGGCATTTGGCCTGCTACTATCCCTGTTCAGGGTAAACATTGCATTTCTTATGGTCATTTACTAGAGTAAGAACCCCTGAACTGAACTGAAATGTAGAGATGTTATATGCTTTTCCAGCACCGTGGCAGAGAGTGCACAGGGCCAGCCTTGCTTTGTGATTTGCAGCCCTGGCTCCTCTTGGGCTGAGAGTTCTAACTGCTCCTTGTCTTTCTCAGTCTATTGTAGGGGCAGAGGGTTTGTCCCTTGCATTCCGGCACATGGCCAGCTCCCTGCTGGGCCACTGCAGCCAAGTCTCCTGTGAAAGCCTCCTTCATGAGGTCATCGTCTGTGTGGGCTACTTCACTGTCAACCACCCAGATAACCAGGTAAGAGGCTCTGGAAAGTTCCTGAGACTGCTCCTCAGTGCTGAGAGTGTGCGGTATTGGAGTGAGAAAAGGCAGGCTAGTCTGCTGGAACCCATCTGTCCTGTGAGAAACCCTTTAACCAGGCTCCAGGAATATGTCTCTTGCTTTCCTCCAAATAGATTTGATCAGTACTCAACTAGCCCTGGGGCCTCCTCTTGAGCTATAAAAATAAAATATTTTTAATATGATATTCTTAAGCCGCACAGAAGCACCTATTCCTTTACCCATGTAGATTGTTTAGTATCTACTTCCTTGCCACATAGATTCTACTGCTCTAGCTGTCAGGGAGTTTTGTTTTGTTAAGATAGCTTACGTCTTTCACTGTGGTCACTTTTGACTTCTGCCTAAATGCGCAGAGGTTTCAGATGGTATGGACAGGAGGCTAAGAGGACAGGAACTCAGTCTCTCCTCCTTGTGTCACCCAATATGTTTGCTTTTAACTGCTTTGATTATTTGGTTTCTGAGCAGATTTTATTTGTAAATAAGGTTCTGCTTTTTAAGAAGTTGAAATATCTGTTATAGATTTTGCCCCAAAAAATGAAATACCTGATTTCACTTTATTTTTTAAACCTGAGTTATGGCAGAACTAATAAATAGTAATTCCTGACAGCTACTCAGCAGCCTTAATTGTATAGAATGTAACTAGTACAAGGCCTCTGAACAACCCCTTAACTCTCACTCTCAGCCGGGCTCTGTGGCTCAGCCTATAATCCCAGCACTTTGGGAGGCCAAGACGAGTGGATTGCCTGAGCCTGCAGGTTCGAGACTAGCTGTGCAACTTGGCGAGACCTCATCTCTACAATAAATCAGAAACTAGCCAGGCATGGTAGCGCACGCCTGTAGTTCTGGCTACTTGGAAGGCTGAGGCGGAAGGATCACTGGAGCCGAGTGGTTTGTTGCTGGAATGGCCATGTATGTGCCACGGCACTCCAGCCTGAGCGACAGAGTGAGACTCCAACTCAAAAAAACAAAAACAAAAAAAACCCTGTCTCTCATTTTAATTTTAGGCAAATCTCTAACCAGTATGCTAGCTAGGTTTATCAGCCTGCAGCAAACTAGACGAGGGCAGGAGAGGAGGTGTTGTGGTGCCAGAGCCAAGAACACAGCAAGAAGCTTTACATTGAGAGCTGGAATTGCCAGCCTGACAAGGAGAAAGAGGACAGAAAAAACAAGGCAGGCCCAAGGACCCAAAAACCACAGCCAACTGGGGTCAAAGGGACACTAAGCCCTGTTTTAATTTCCCAGCTGATTGTTGATGTTCTAATGCTGACCCTCAAAAAGCAAGGAGGCAGGGTATATTTGGTGCATTCCTATTTAGGAAGGTTGAGGGATGAGCAGTCTGTTTTAGAGAGAGTCCATGGTTAAAATATAGAAAACTGGGCCCTTACCAGAAAAAGTGTCATACACAGAACAGTTTCCCTTTCACAGATGCTGTTGCCAGGAGGGTGATGGAAGCTCTTCCTCCCCTCCCACCTCGGGACACACAGGCATGCCCTTCCCTGTCACACACCTTTGACCTTCCTCTGGCGCAGGCCTAGCTGGTTCATGAGTCTCCTACAAGCTGCTCAGGGAAGGGAAGTTGAGGGAAATCTTTTGTGTGGACTTTTTTTCTTCATGTGCATCCATTCAGTCTACTAAATTGTGTTTATTTTCTTTTAAAATTTTGTTTTTATTTTTCTGATTACAAAAGTGTTCTTTATTTATTGTGAAAAAGACAAGGCATATGTAAAGAACAAAATGGAATCACAATTATTTCTGATCTCACCATCTGACATAGCCACTGTTAACATTTTGGCAGGTTCCCTTCCAGTCTCTTTTCTATGAATAATTTTTTATAGCTGAGGTCATATGTACAGATGTTCATGTCCTGCTTTATGCACTTAACATCATATCAGAATCACTGTGAATATTTTAACAACTGCATAGCTTTATCTTGTGTGGACATTCATGGTTTACCTAATAATTTCCTGTTTTATACTTAAATTGTTTACTGTATATTGTGACACTGTCTACTGCCTTTGGAAGAGGTGAGTAATTTGCACGTGTGATAATATTTTACTGTGTGCAGTTCTGTAGCAAAAAGTTCAGTTCTTCTAATGCATCCCATTTAGGGATGATTTGAAACTTTTTTATTAAACCAACACTGTTATGATAAACTTACTGAACTCAAAATTTTGTGGGATTTCATAGGGTTTTTCTGCTGATATTGGGTCACACACTAATCCTCTTCTTGGATAAAACAGTTTCAGTGTATCTGGGCTCATCAGAGTGAATGGGTATTAGAGGTGGGGCACTTGTATTTAGAGACTGCATTTAAGACCTGACTTGGACCTGGTGGAAAAGTGATGAATGGGCATGTTGGGATGAGAAAAAAAGCAGATGAAATGGGTGGAGAGTGCATTCAGCAATACAAGGAGGGCAAGGAGAAGACTTTGAGACCCTGTCACTTGTCAGTTGAGAAAGAAGAGGATGCAGTGGGGTTTGGAGATCGTTGTTGGGAGGTGAGCTCACTCTGAGGAAGAAATTAGAAAAGTGAAAAAAGCCAGACCTTGTGTTTTAAAACCTTGCCTCCCAGAAGGATTGAATACTACACTGGACATCCACTTTTGATTTAGGTGAAGATCAGAGAAGCCAATTCAGCTCTGGGGCAGTTGCTGAATTGCAACAACTATAAGAAGAAAATGATTTTTTTAAATATGATTTTTAAAAAGTAGAGAAGAAATAAGAAACTGTAGAAAACATAATAATTGTAAAAAGCCAGATCACTTCACTATGGAGATGCTGTTTCTAAGCCAGAACCCTTACATTTGTAGAATTCTCTGTACTCTTCTCCCATCTGTTGTTTCTTGAACCCCTTGAGCATTTCAGTGAGGCCGTGAGTAGAGGAATTATCCTTACCCACAGACAGGTGAGGAATCACAGTTCTAAGAGGTGAAACAAGCTTCCTGAAATGACATAGAGAATCACTGGAAGACCAGAACTAGAATCCAGGTCTGGCAAAGTCTAACTCATGTACTTTTCATTTCATCTTACATCACTTAAAAAGTCAGATGTGTCACAGGCACTGTCCACTGGCGATCACTGAAGTGTATCTTAATGCCACTGAATTATAGGGTCAAAAATGGTTGAAATGAAAGGCCTAACATCTAGGATCTACAAGGAACTCAAACATGCTGAAAGAAAAAAAACAAACCTATTAAAAAATGGACAAAAGGTCAGGCTCGGTGGCTCAGCCTGTAATCCCAGCACTTTGGGAGGCCAAGGCGAGTGGATTGCCTGAGCCCATGGGTTCGAGGCCAGCCCGGGCAACTTGGCGAGACCTCATCTCTACAATAAATCAAAAATTAGTTAGGCGTGGTAGCGTGTACCTATAGTTCCGGTTACTTGGAAGGCTGAGGCAGAAGGATCAACGGAGCCCAGCAGGACAACACTGGAGTGGCCGTGAGTATGCCATTGCACTCCAGCCTGGGCTACGGAGTGAAACTCCAACTCAAAAAAAAAAAAAGTGGACAGACGATATGAATAGACACTTCTTAGAAGACATACGAGCAGCCAACAGACACATGAAAAAATGCTCAGCCTCACTAATCATCAAAGAAATACAAATTAAAACCATACTGAGATACCACTTAACTCCAGTCAGGATGACCATCATCAGTAACTCAAAAAACAACATGTACTGGAGAGGATGTGTGGAAAAGGAAACACTTTTACACTGTTGGTGGGAATGTAAACTAGTACAACCTCTGTGGAAAACTGGCAATTTCTAAGAAATCTGAAAATCAACCTTCCATATGGAGGAACTCAAGTCACTCTATAATAAAGATACCTGCACACGCATGTTTATTGAAGCACTAACATGGAACCAAACGTGCTACCCATTGAAAATGGACTGGATAAAGAAAATGTGGTACATTTACCAAAGGAATATTATGCAGCCATAAAGAAAAATAAAATTATGAACTTTGCAGCAACCTGGATGGAATTAGAGTCTATAGTACTCAGTGCTCTATCACAGATACAAAGATCTGAGTACCACATGTACTCACTCATAAGTGGACCTTGAACATTTATCATAATACCATAAGAAAGGGATTGGCAGTAGTGGGACACTGCCAGGGGAGGGGAGGCATACTTTACCTATATGATGACCATGTATGTACCTAAGCCTCATTTGTACCCACATTTTTAAAATAAAACAATTTTTTTAATGGTTGAAATGGTAAAATTTTTGATATATATATCACACAATAAAATAAACAAAAAAGAAGTGTATTGTACTAGGTGATCTCCCTTGTGGAATCTGACATTTTGAGAGTTAAGACTGGAGCCACTGACCGACCAAATTCTGATTTTGTGGGGACTCCAAGTCATTTTGTGGTTTTTCAGATCTTCCTTACTCTACTCCAGATTATGTCAGCAGCAGACAGCTGAATGAGCTGCCTGCCTACTACATGGCAGCGTATCATTAAAAACGCAACACGCTTTGGCTCCTCTATATTAATGGGGGGTCCACTGACAGATTCTCATAAGCAGACTTCTTACAGATGAGATGCCAGGTACCTTGTTCTGTGATATTGTCAGCCACAGTTGTTTCACTTGCACCAGAAGGCTGTGCTCACCAGCTCATGGCCAGACTCCATGCCAACCAGGCTGCATGGCCAGGGGCAGGGTGTGGAAAACAACCACAAGCTTGCTGAGGTGACAGCTGCTCATATCTCAGTAGAGTGGGGGAAAGCTCATTGTTTATTTGTTTTCATTTTAAAAACTAGTTCTATTAAATTTTCTTTCTATGCGCCCCAAAACCCAGTAATTTGCTAAGTGAGCATTTGCTACAGGGTTGTGGTAGGTGCAGTTTTAAGCACTCACCCCAGCTTCAATCACAGATTCATGGAGCCTTCACCCTAGTAGGGTTCTGGGAGATATCTAGTCCAGCTCCCTCAATTTGTAGGTGGAGAAAC